TGATTAGTGTATGTTGCAAATGCATATATTGTATCAGAAATACTCCCATTTTGTATGCAATTATATAAAAAATCAAAAATAATGTCAAGTCATATAAGGAAAATACATTCAGCTACTAAACCTGTGTAATTGGATTCAAAGTATTTTTTAAATTTAATGCACATTCTAACTTTGTACAATATAATAGAATATGTTCTAAACAGACAATAACAATACATGCAATTATTAAATTAAATAATTTCAGAATAAATGTTATCTTTATAACATTCATTCTCTTGATCTAGGAATAATATAGTGTCCCATCTAAGCATATTTTTAGTGACTATTACACTTGATTTGCTATACTTTTTATATTTTAGTAAATTGTTGATACATTACACTTTGAGGCAATTGTAAATGAAATCTTCTATTGTATCTTCTAATTCTTGCAAGAGAATATAGAATTGGGGGTATTTATCTTGTGTCTTGTCACTTAACTCTCTTGTTAATTTTATGTGTACTTTTAATTTAATCTTTGTGACTCTTTTTGTTCTCACATTTTGATTATTTTAATTACTAACTTATAATACTTCTATAATTTATATTTATTTCTGGGTTACATGAATTACTCAGTCCACCAAAGTTAATTTCTGTTGACAATCCCAATCCACTATTTGATTCTCAGTTTATTATTCTTGGTTTGTTCATTTTTTATTAGTATAAAATATGCCCCTACTCTTAGTTTGCTAGGTTGCTAAGAGGATATTACACTTAGTAGTATGCAATGCACTTTATCAGATTACATTCTTAAATTTAAATTATTTTATTATTCTCATTTGATATACTAATATACTATTGATTGATTGATTGATTTGATGAATTGACTTCTTAATTTAATTTCTACCAAATCCTTCTTTCATTCCAAGAAGATTCCTGTCTATGATCAAACATCTAATACCCTGGTGAATTTTGCTTCCATTTGACTTATAATTTGTTTTATTAGTGAATGTGTGCTGTAATTCCTTTTGTTACTAATATCAATTATTGGCATCCTTTATGCTGCCTTAACAAAATGAATAGGAATGTTTCCATCTTGATCTACATTCTAACAATATTGAATACAACTGGAATTATATAATTCCTGAAAGGCAACAAATACTCTTTATAGAGGCCTCAGACCCTAAGAGCATCTTAGGAATAAACTTTTTTTAAGCAGTTTATTTAGTACCAAGGTTTCTATTCAAATTTCTTCTTTATATTCAGTTTGGATATTTATAGTTCCTTGGATTTTTTTATTATACACAGCCTATCAAATTTACTGCCAACAATTCTACATGAATTTAAAATTACAATTTTTATAGTCATTCCTTCTTTCTTCCCTCTCTCCCTTCCTCCTTTCTCTTCCCCCTCCTCCTCTCCCTCCTACTTTTTCTTCTCTCTCTTTCTCAACTATTTTGCATTAAATCTATCACTATCTTTTGGCCAGAACTCTTTGGGCCCACATGTTGAATTTTTTTCGTTTTTGCCTTTTTCTTGTTTTATATGGACTGTGATTATATTTGACTTTTTAAAAATATTTAATTTGTCAAAGAACTTTGTGAGTTTAAACGTGTTGTACATTTTCACATTTGTTTTCTTGTTGTCAGAAAATGTCTAAACAACTTATGGTTATTGGAATCTGCCTACAGAATACAGAAAGACTTCCTCTCTTCCAGTTACTTTGTGACCACTCTTGAATATCTTTCAAGAAACTTTGAAAATGAAGCCCTTTCTGTTTGTATCATACAACATTTATTATAAGAACACTAATTCAGTCACAGTAATTGTATTATTGAAACTTCAGGTTTTTTCCCTTCATTTTTCAAATACTGCAAGTGATGAGTTAAGAAGCAGAATATGATTGTAGATTTATAAATTTTGTATCCAGTCCAAATCGTTTTTCACTCATATTTTAATGCTATGTTTTTAGTTTATATAATTCTATTTTATTTGAATTTTAATTGAAGTACAGTCAATTTACAATGTGTCGATTTCTGGTGTAAAGCATAATGTTTCAGTCATACATATACACACATGTATTCCTTTTCATATTCTTTTTCATTGTATGTCAGGACAAGATATTGAATATAGCTTCCTGTGCTACACATAAGAAACTTGTTGATTATCTATTTTATACATAGTAGTTAATATTTGCAAACCTCAAACTCCTAATTTATCCCTTCCCTCTCCCATTCCTCCGGTAACCATAAGTTTGTTTACTATGTCTGTGAGTTTGTTTCTATTTTTGCCTTCTTTTTTTTTTAAATTCCACATATGAGTGATATTATATGGTATTTTTCTGTCTTTTTTTCTGGCTTGCTTCATTTAGAATGACAATCTCCAGGTCCATCAATGTTGCTGCAAATCATAATATTTAATTCTCTTTATGGCTGAGTCCTCTCATTTTTCAGATACTGAAGGGGATAAGTTAAAGAAGTAAAATATGACTATAGATTTATACATTTTATATCAAGTCCTAACAGTTTTTGCCTCATATTTTAATGCTATGATTTTAGTTTATATAATTTTAAATTTGGGGTGAAGGTATATCTTAGAGATAGAGCACATGCTTAGCGTGTGCTCCAATATTGTTTCTTCTGCATTGACGGTCAGAGTTTTTAAAAATAAACTTAAAATGGCTAAAAGATGTAAATATAAGGCAAGATGCTATAAACATCTTAGAAGAAAACATGGGCAAAAGATTATCTGACATAAATCTCAGCAGTATTCTCCTAGGGCAATCTACCCAGGCAAGAGAAATACAAGCAAAAATTAACAAATGAGACCTAATTGAACTTACAAGCTTTTGCACAGCAAAGGAAACCATAAGCAAAACAAAAAGGCGCCCTACAGCATGGGAGAGCATATTTCCAAAAGATGAGACTGACAGGAGCTCAATTTCCAGAATCTGTAAACAGCTCTTACAACTTAATAAGAAAAAAAAGAAACCCAATTCAAAAATGGGCAGAAGACCTAAACAAGCAATTCTCCAAGGAAGACATACAAATAGCCAATAGGCACATGAGAAAATGCTCAATATCACTAATTATCAGAGAAATGCAAATCAAAACTACAGTAAGGTGTCACCTCACTCCAGTCAGAATGGCCATCATTCAAAAGTCTACAAGTGATAAAAGGTGGAGAGGGTGTGGAGAAAAGGGAACCCTCCTACAATGCTAGTGGGAATGAAGTTTGGTGTAGCCATTATAGAAAACAGTATGGAGATTCCCCAAAATACTGAAAACAGACTTACCATATGATTTAGCAATCCCACTCCTGGGCATATACGGAAGGGAACTCTAATTCAAAAAGATACATGCGTCCCAGTGTTCATAGCAGCACTATTTACAATAGCCAAGACATGGAAACAACTTAAATGTCCATTGACAGATGACTGGATAAAGAAGTTGTGGTATATTTACACAATGAAATACTACTCAGCCATAAGAAAGAATAAAATAATGCCATTTGCAGCAACATGGATGGACCTGGAGAACATCATTGTAAGTGAAGTAAGCCAGAAAGAAAAAGGAAAATAGCATATGATATCATTTATATGTGGAATCTATAAAAAAAAGACAAATGAAGTTATTTACAAAACAGAAATGGACTTAGACAACAAACTTATGGTTACCAAGAGGAGAGAGGAGTGGGAAGGGATAAATTGGGAGCTTGAGATTTGCAGATAATAAGTATGATATAT